AACAAATTAGGAAGATAATCAACCCCATTGTTGGGCACAATTGGAATGCGGGACACATGTCAAAGGCAACTCACCAATTGCGACTCATCCTCTGAGGAACATATCTGGAAGCCGCGAAATCTTTCATCTACGTTTCTATGCCCCCTTCGTGTTGAATGTCGGGGTGGATAAATTTTCCGTAACATATAAAGAGGAAGGGATGTTGGAATGCGGAATGCGAAATCCTATATTTGTAATAATCCTCTCAGAGGGTTCCTGAGAGTAGTCCCCTTATTTGTCCTTTTAAATACTCGTTATACATAACAGCCTGGAAACATACGCAACAGGTGAAAGAAGAACACTGTCTATTTGTTTCACTTAATGATAAACATGGCATATCGAATTCTGTATTCACACGCACCTACCAAATTAGGCCACACTGTTCTATGACACACACAGAAACGTGGAATTTATACGAAATGCTCACTCTCATCCGGATGCTTCTGTACGAAACAAGGCAGGACTCATTCAAGACACCGCAGTAGAAATCACACATTGTTAAAATATCCTTAGAGAGAAAATCATAAGTTAACAGTAGAAAAAGAAGAAGAACAAGCAAATATAAGTACCAAAGCATTCTCGAAGACTTGGATGTGCACTCCTTACATATCAGATCAGTCTGCCGTAAAGTTGTAATTACAAAACCGCCTATCATTCATTTATCAACGTAAATAGAAGTTATGCCATTTTTTTCCCATATCTATTTCTCCAATGAGAGAACAATTAATGTATGTTTTACTGATAGAATTGAGGGCCTTCCTAGTAGGATGGAAGAAGGAGGAACTTTCTGATGATTTCTCTGCGAAACAGAATTCATCAAATTTGACACGGAACAGCAACATTTAGAAATATGTTATTTTAGGAACAGGGCTGTCTTTCACTAAGTAGTGATCATCATATAACCCATCAGAGAGGATACCACCGATTTTGTCAACATCCCTGTCTCATCCTACCAGCATATATATATATATTATGGTAACCCCTGCATTATATCGAAATGTTTTGAATCACAGGATGTCCTCTTCTTTCCGATAGGACAAAGCAAAAAAAGATGATAAAACAACAACTCCTCTAAGTCCGAAATCCGACCCCTCCTGCTTCCCTATGGATCACTCTGTTGGTACCACTTCTTATAAGGAAGGGACATCCCAACACAGACAACGTCAAATGAGGTGACTCGGTTGTTCTGACTCAGGGATCAATCCATATTAGACAGAGACGCTTCCTCACATATAATTATGGGAACAGAATGTGTCTATTCATTATCTCACTTGGGACAATCTAAGTCCTCTAACAACCATACAGTGGTGGAGGCACTAATAATTAACGGACAAAGGGACTCATAAGACGGAAGAGGATACACATATTAACACAATGTAGACTCTTCTTGGACCCAGTTGAAGACATAACATATTGTTTGGGGCATAACTAACATATGGAAGGAAGGTCATCCTAGGGGGGACATAACTCCTTATTGCACCCAGTTGCACACATAGGGTCTGATTCAAGGTTTTAGACGACGGTATCAAAGGGGCTTGGGGAGGAGGTCATATTAGTATGTGGTCCTTTCCCAACTGTGAAGTCTGAACCCTGAAAATTCACTTCTAGCAACTGGGGGCCCCATACCCTACTTGATACAACGATATCTCACGCCCCCGGGGTCTGCTACTGCTCCTTCGCCCCCCCCTATTAAATACTCTCCACATCCCATAACCACCTGCGAAGGCCATGCAAACTACTCCTGCCAGCCCCGCTATCAACTTCCACCCCTCCAGACCAGCCAAAAGAAACAGACTCTTGTCTTCGTCCCTCCCTGCTTCTTCCTGTTTGAACCTCTCGTCTTCCTGTGGGGGCGTCGGGTGTTCGTTAGCCGGCCCTGACGAATCCATGCGTATAGTATCCTCCCCTTCTGTAAATGAGCTTAAGGATTCCTTAGAGTCTTTTGCCTTGTCTAATGTTTCGTTGTCCTGTACTTGTCTTCGCGAAGCTTCGAGGGTTGCATCTTCTTTGTTGGGGGGGGGGGCCGTGATGGTTTCGCACTCCTGATTAGGACTTCTTCGTATGATTCTTGATATCTCTCACTGTCACTTTGTTCTGTGTTTAGACCCTCGGCACTTCTAACCCGCCCGGGGAATTCAGATATATCGACTTCTTTATGATCCCTTTCATCTTCACCGGTTTCTTCTACTGTTTCCAGCTGTTCCCTTAACTCAAAGGACTTGGTCCTAAATACTTCCTCTAACTCGTCCCCTCCTATTTGTATCTTTCCTGCTTGGGAATCTGATGCTACAAAGTCCAAACACTCCATCTTATCTTCCTTCATCGAACACATTTTCACGTTAGTCTTGTGCCCGGGACTTTTCCCTTTTTTCATCCAATATGTGAGGTGATAAGGCCCATACTCCTGGTAAACTTCTTTCATACCTCCATAGATACTTAAAATCAAAGCCATTGCTGCCTCCTGACATCCATGGTATCCTTTCTGTTTAGAACATGCCTCAAGAGGACTCTTCCTCATGTCAGAAGTAGGCTTTATCCATTCTTCCCACTGATCCTCGGTGAATTCTAGATTTGTATCTATTATATCACACATCCTTCCTCTCTTTCTAAATTTGGTGTCCTGCTCGTTCTTCCCCTCTATCAATCCGGTCATTATACACATTACCACGAATAACACTCTTTTACCGGAGTCGAATTGATTCAGATGCACGCACTTCTCTTGCTCCAGATTTAAGGCATCTTGCCAGTCTTCCTTGGTCCACGTTAGCAACTTGGCCCGGCCATCCCTTTCGGATACTACTTGTGCGTCTATTCGATTTAAAACGTTATGGACGAGATCTCCCCAATCTAGGTATTGGTTATCGTCGGACGTCTTTAATCCGGTAGAGACGGACGGAGAAAATCCTTTTCCCCAGGCATATGTATCATTCTCGAACATCTTGTCCCGTATCCAGTCAGCTATTTGGGTTCTCCCTGAAGAACCGGGCTTGAACAGACTGGAATAATTGTATTTCATCCCTATCTGACACTGGCTCCCTTCTGGCTCTGCCTGGTGAAAAGTTGACACGCTCTGTTTGGTGGGCCTGCCGAAAGGCATTTGCCAATCGCTATTATTTTTCTCGGGTTCCATCTATAGTATTCTTGTTCCTGCTAATTCTTATAACCCCCTGGTTACGGTTCAAGGAGAGGTTTTTATCGTTAGTCTTAGAAGCTATTCTTAGTCATACTATCGGTTGCTTCCGTATTGGGGAAGAAGAGACACCCGTATTCCCCCTTCCTTCGCCTTATTATAAGATTCTCTCACTCCCCTTGAATCAAGAGATCTCTGTCCCGGAGACTCTTTCTTACTACTCTGATCCAGATGTTGATGTTCCTCCCTTGTTGGTAGGGTGTCTTCGTATTGAGGTACCTGATAGAGCTCTCAGGATTCCCTTGTTCGTAGAAAACTCGATACCCTGATCAGCCTCCTTCGTCCTTTGGTTGGATTCTCCTGCTGGTCCTGCTTCTGTTGTCCAACCTTTTGACGCGGTTTGAAGCTTTTCGGTTACTTTCCTTACTGCTTCAATTTACTCCGCTCCTCTACATAATCTAGGGTTTTCGATGATCTTTCGACTTTATCATAACGAGGGAGGTGTTGTTCCTGTTTTGGTGGGGAAAGATTTCTGAGAAGACTTTTCTTGATCAGAGTTGGTTTTTCAGAGTTTCCCTCCTGGTGGCTTGACTTGACTTCGGCCTCTTATCCTCTCCAGCCCCTTGTCCTTTTGTTGAGCCCTGCTGACTTATCTCGAAGCCTATCAAGGCAGAAGACTTCTTAAATCATTCCGGAAATTCCCAGCTTTAAGTTGAGGCCTCTTTCAATGTCTCCTTCAGATCTGGGGATTAAGATAGATCTTCTCAGGATTCATCAAATTATATCACCTGTTCCGGACTTAGGAGGCTGGTAGATTTCTAGGTGCTCCTTGCTAGCTTAAGAGAGACGAGATATGGCTTGCAGTCTTAAATCTCCCTTGCCTTGGAGTCTCCTCGGTCGAAACTTTTTGAAAATTCCTTTGGGAGACGATTGAAACCTGTTTGCCTCCTGGACTTAATTAGATATTAAAATGGGGTGTCCTGTTTTAGGGGTTGGATTTATTCTTCGGAGTCATTCCTTCTAAAACCTGTACCTTCCTTAATCACTAAAGGATCAGCCGTCAACTTAATCCCACTCTCCTACAATTAATTTCATCCATCTAACTTCTGTTATTTTGTATCTTCGCACATGTGGAGTGCCACTTGCCCTGGATCCGATGTCCTCTAATCTCCTGTGTTCTTTAGATACACGTGATTTTTGCTGACGCCCCCAAGAACTTACTCCATTCGTTTAATTCGACCTCCTGTCGCGGATAGCTGGACTCTTTTTCACGGTTTAAGTATTCTTTTGATTTAACTGTTCTAACTAGCACGAGTTATTCCCTTTCTGGGGTTTCTCACTTAAACACTAAGCCTCTAGTTAGTAATCATGTCCTCTCCGGCTGTTTGGGCTCCGGTTGCTTCCCTTCGGGGACTTGGGCAGGGCCGGACGGAGCATCTAATTTCTCCTTTGTAGGGGGTTTTGCCGGAATTTTGTTGCTTTTAGATATGATGGCTCACCCAGCTGCTTTTTGTAATCGTGCACTAGCCCCTACCAAGTCTAAAGCCCTCGGAGGAGGAGCTTCTTCCATTTGTCATACCTGATGTGATCTTGGCCTGGTATTGCTTCGGTTCCCTGTCCTTTACTCCACCCTAATCTTCGAGCGTGCATTCGCTCTGACTTCTTCTGGAACTTTTTTTGTTGGGTTGAATGAGGGAACGTAATTCTTCTCAGAAGAATTTTCTTGGTCTTATGTAAAAAGGGTTTCTCCCTCGGTTTCTAAGAGAAGAAAGAGGATTTCCTCTATAGTACCTTTCTTTCCTTTGGGAGGTCCGAATGCTTCCTCTTCCTCCTGGTTTTGGCTCCTGGAGAATGGCACTGATACTGGTTTTTTTTCATTGATTCAGAATTTTACTTATTCACTTATCTTTTTTTTTACCCTTTTGCCTAGTGGCAATCAAGTTGTTCCCAGGGAGTTATTATTCTACGTAATTTTGAGACTTCAGATATTAGGCGCCTAGTCTTGAAGAAGAGTTAGATGTCTTTGGTATTTTATTGATAGGACTCCCCTCTAGTCTTCGAGGCTATTTCAGTCGTCTCACTACTTAGACGTTATTTGTTTGGGTTGTGACCCTGCAGTTTCTCCTGCCTCCAAATATATCATTAATACTTACATTGCCTCCCTGCGGAAACTTAGTGGGGATCTTCATCTGCTTCGGATAGTCAACTTGTGCTGTCCTTGTCTCTTTATACTTACATTTCTCTTAGGAAACACTTCATGCTCTTGGGGATTGGTGGATCTTCCTTGGGGGCTTGGTTTGCTTCTTGAGTGTATCCTTGCAATTTGAGGAATGAGGGTGGCCTCCTTGACTCCAATATTCTGGGTGGAAAGTTCGTAATCAATGTAAGGGCTAGCGAGCTCCCGATTTGGTCCCCTTCGAGTCTAGACGACTCATCCGTAGTGGAGATTTGTTGCTAAAGTTGCTCAGGAGATACTCTTCTTTTGTCTGCGTGGCAATCCTTGCCCTCGAGGATCTGTTATCTACTGGTTGCTTAAAAGCCTTGAGCTCAGCTGGTGCCTCCTTTCTTTATCTCCCACACGTTATCATTCTCGATACTTCCTCTTAATCTTGGTATCAACCTCTTTGAAATCTATCTCCTGTTATTTTACTTGTTCTCTTGTGCGTGAACTAGGGTGGTTTCTGGGAGATTCTTATCGGCTAATTCTATTCGGAATTCTTCCCGCCTTTAGCTGAGTCTCATTTTTTTTGTTACTTCATTGGATCTTGTCCCTGTTCATTCTGTCCTCTGACTTGTTCCATCTTCTGGGAGAAAGAAAACATGATGTTTACTCGCCGTTGTTTTTCCGCGCCTCTAGGTTGGCTTACCTTCCACTTCTTGTGAGGTACCTGCACATCTCGTATTCATCTCCATATCTTCCGTCTGACTCTTGATATGTTCTTGAGTTCAGCAATAATTTATTTCTTCTGCTCTGGGGGAATTCCTGAGATGTTCCCCACGGGCTGTCTTCTCTGGAGCTACTTAAGGCTCTTCCTGGTAGAGTCCTGTAGACATCGTCCGGTGGGAGTTGTATTTGTTCGGCGGTAGTGTCGGTAGAAGAGAAATTTAGCCCCTGAATCTCGGTGTAAGGGTTACTTATTATAGATTGCAGGAGATTTGGGATTAGTCTTCCTTATTTCTTCTCCTAATTCTGCTTATTTTCTAATATTATAATTCTTTGTTTCCTTTGTTATCACTTCAAAGGGGGGGACTCAATGTGTTCTAGTTTTATCCTTCCTATAGCTCTATCCCTAGTTTTTCTGGAACATTGTCTGAGGAGTCAGGGCAGGCGTCCCTGATTCTTGGGCTGCGGAATTAACTTCCTTGACCTGCCGCGATTTCAAATTAGAATAACTCGATCATATGGCATCTGCCGACTCTGACACCTTTATCCTTCTTAGTCAGTTCTGGTTGTTTTGTTTTAATGTTCTGATTCTTCTTATTCTTCTCCTTCTTGCCCTCAGGAGTTATCATTATCTCATACTCCTAGATTTCTGCCGACTCCTCTGCGGTGATTTGTTGGGACTCCTGTTGTTACTTGTTTACTCTTTAGGGTATTATTGGGATTTCTTCCTCCTCCAGAATTATGATTAGTACTCTCGGCATCTTGTTTAATCAGTCGCATGGAAGATTCCTAGCTCCTAGTTGTCTAAGGGTTTTTCTTTGGTTTCATTACGGATTTGAATCTTATCTTTAGGAATCTGATTCATCTTCTCAGGTATTACTACTCTTGCCCGCCCTGAGGTGCCGTATGCTTCGGTTTAGCCTTGTCTACTGCTCCCTCTCTACTCTTAGATCCTCTCCTTTTCTTCGCAACTTCAGACATTAGGCACGGTGTCTCCTAAGTAGGGAGTTGTCCTCTGCTTCTCCGATTACTGAACTCGCCTTTCTGGAAGAAGAAGGGCGGGGTTCAGGTATTCTCTACTTTTGAGGGAGCTCTAATGAAGCCCTTCTCCTAATCCTCTGGGATTTGTATTATTCAGGGACTACTCACTTTCTTAGCCCCCTTTGGGCTTCTTCCTCCTTAGGGATTCTTCTATTTTTTGGCGACTCACAAGGGCTTCGCTTTTCCCTTTGTTATATGAGTCCGGGGTGGAGCCCCCTATCAACCAAGGTGAATCTAATCTTCCCCTTTTATCTTATATTGATCTGTTGCCTCCTGAGGCAGCCTGTTCATTAGGAATTTCACTGGGGCTCGTGGATACATTATATTATCACTCCAGTTGGATAGTACCTGCCGATTACTGTTCCAGGCTTCCCTGGTCTCTCCGTGTGTTCTGTAAGAAGAATCTTCTCTTGCCTCTTTAGGTTATTCGACTGCTTGTCCTCCTCTTCTGGATGCTGTCTGCTCTATATCCTTGGTTTTTCTCCACGGCACACGCTGTTTCTGAAATACGTACTTAGCGGGTTGCTCCTTTGTTGTTTGCCTCTATTAAGCCAGCCGTTGTCTCTATAATCCTGTCCATCATTTCTTGCCTTTTACCTAATAGTCCCTTGATATCAATCGTTTCGCCATCATCTGCTCCTGTATTGTTTTCTGCCTTTATTATAAAAGGTATATAGTACCCCATGGAATTTGCATATCTCTGCTCCATTGCATTTATAGCACTTTTCACAGAGAAGCATGAACACATTTAAACACAATAACAGTGTTTTCAATCATATGCAACATGCAATTAGAGTTCAATAAGAAATTAGAACTCATATTATACTACTTCAATTTCTACATTCCATTACTCTCTTTATATATGCATAGATAAAACACGTCATGAACAATCGTGTAATTCTGGGGGGCACATTTTTATGCCAAATGAACAATGCTCTCATCTGAATCTGCATATACTAGTAACTAGGTTCTGTGTTTGCGTAAAAATGTGTACCCTCCGTATCATCCTTTTTCCTTCCGGTTGTTTCGCCCGATAGTCCTCCCTGGTATGACACCAGAGGGGCATCATAATTCACGAGGTTAACACTTCCCATCTTTAGGACTCATGAACTAATCCCACATATAAAAGGGAGGAAGGATACATATATGTATGTATATGCTTGAGTATATATATGCTCCATGCTAAGCTGTAAAAAGCTCAAAAACACATAGGCTGTTATCGATAGATGATCGCAATGTATAGAGGTATGATAATTACGTGTATTCCTTTGGCTACCATGTTTCTTCTGTCTCTAGAAATTCATGCACCCTCAGTTCACAGCGATAATGTGAATTC